AAGCGCATGGCAAGCGTAAAAACCTCTGGTGTTAAAAAAAACCCTTAACCCAGCCTGGGGCCAGGCCCCACTGTGAGACGGATCTGGCGGAAGAGGTCCGGCAAGCCTGACGCATCGGGAGTTCCAAATAAATAGGGGTACATCATCCCCCCAAAATGGAGAATATAATGGACAAGAACATGGAAAATTATATGGAAACTGGGGGAATAAAGGGATTCAAGGAACTAAGGGGTTATGAGGGACATATTATGGGATTGTGCGGGAGGATTGTAGTGATGCAAGGGGTTTAGATCTTGAATACTTATGTGTTCTTTGTTGTTGGGTTTCTGTGCTAAAGGTTCTTGTATTTTGCGGTTTATACGAGGGCCCTTGTTTTCGGAACCCCCGTTATAACCAGCAGCATTGGCGGTTGACCCAGTGTTATGGTCTTTTTATGTGGGGTTCCGCTTTGTTCAGAGATAGTAGGGATCCTTATGGTATACACTGTAGCGTCTACAAAAGATAAAGCAATCACCAGCCAGATCAACGCACTAAACAGCAAGGGCAAGCTGTAGCCATGACGTCTGGACATGGGATTTTTCAGTCATCCTCTGACAGCAAATCTCGCTATGACTGGTGTGCTGCGATGTTGGCAACCCCTTTTGCGATAAAGCTGATGCAAAGTCCAAGTGGGGGAGAAAAGCTGAGCTGCAAGCCGACCCAGATCTTGTATGCTTACCATCTACCACCAGGACCTGAAAGCATTTCAGTCTCCTACGTTCGACCAGAAGATACCGGAGGCCGATATCAGCTTGGAAACGGAGTTCAGGCATGCGTCTTGACGACTGTTTGATTTTGCCATCGATTCAGTTGCAGCATGATTTGTTGAAAGCTGAGCTAGGCATGTATGCATTCGGACATGTTCGGTAAGCGTCTGTAGAAAGCTGATACCTGAGTCCATGCACCTGTAGCATAGCCTTTCTGGAGCCACTGCTGTCCTGGCGCCAGGTCGAGCCTCCGCCATCCGTTTGCTAGAAGTCTTGTTCCTTCGTGCAGGGCGGTGTGCCCAGAATCGAGCCACCCTGGAGAGTATTGCGAGAAGGGAAAACAGGCGTGAAGTTCTCACCGGCCCGGCCCAGCATGTTTTGCAAGCGCGCTGCATTGCCCATCCGCGAGACCCTGCCTTGTTCTGCAAGTTTCCATCTTCACATCCGCCAGTCCCGATCAGATCTCAGAATACCAATGAGGACCCAGAGATTCCCGCCAAATCTGATCAAGTCTAGTAAGTCACAACGAGAGCACGCGGAAAAACATGCAGGCTACCTGAAGACCTTGTCTTTAGCCCTCGAGGATTTCCTTGAGGAGACTGCTGGCAACAAGTTCACCAATGAAGGTTGGGCCGGTACCCTACGCCCACTTCTTTCCTCGGTACAGCTTATGGACTCACTGATCAGGGTTGCACTTCACGCCTCAGAGGGGAAAAATATGCAGTCGTCTCATGGTCTCATTCTTTCGCAGCTGCATGTAGAGATGCCTTGGTTTCAATTAAACGTGTCTCTTCAGACTTGATCTCTATTAAGGTCTCTCCGGAGATCGGCGACATCGTCACCGGCACAGTCATGTACATCGGTGAGGTTGGGTGAAGAGCTGTCTCAAATGTCTGAATATCTGTGCAGCAGCATTTGCAGGTGACGCCTGCTCTGTGCATTGCGTAAATATACCACAGACAGATTAGATGTTTTTGGCTACCATAGCTTGGGACATTTTCAGCTTGTTTGCAAGAGGCACGCTGTATGAGATGCTTCTGTGCAGGGGGCGGGCTCCCATTCCCATTTCAGGATGCGTGCATCTGGCACAGCATTTCTGATAGAGGAGTCCCTGATATTTCAGAAAGTACCCCAACCTGAAACCTTAAACACTGGCCTGAAGCTCTGACTCGTGCCGCTGCAGACACCCCTCACCCTACACTGCACCAGTGTAGGACGGAGCCTTTGTGGAGCTTGATGGCGGCGGCGTCAAGAGCTGGGCACAACTTCCCACGAAGTGCCGCGGCGGTGTTTGGCATGCGTAGAGACAACGCGTTTCCGAAACTTGCAGTCTTGAAAATCTACCTTGGTGAAGACTACCGCAGCAGCAACTTTCGGCTGTATTGCACTTTGTCTGTTGCTGGCCATGCTCTAGACTCGGCAAGGTATGCTTCCCTGAAGCCCATCGCCAGCGTGGCGGAGGCTTCGGGCGGAATTCCCGCACTTTGCAGAAGCTTATTGCAAGTATGCTTTCAAAGTAGGAGTATGAGATGAATTCGAGCTCTAATGAAGCAGATTGTGGCCGAGAACAGAGATCCCCCACCTGTCGGATCCTTGCATGGTACTCGTGGCTTTACTCATAGCCCCAAAATCCAGACGCAGACTATCCTAGCATAATTCTCGCACAGTCCCCAAATAAGGATGTCTTTGGAAAATCTTGGGATCCCAAGGCTACATATCCAATCTTAAGAGCTGTTCTCTAGGGAGATGGCGGGCTGCCGCCAACCCTGTCAACACCTAAATGGTAGTTTCCCAAAATGAGGGGAACCCAATACAGACGCCAAAAGATTATAATCCTTGGTATGGGGATCCCCAAAAGGGCACCCCCAACTTCAGGAAACCCTCAAAGGACCGTACCTTTCTTGTGCTCTTCTGTATGGCATGGGGGATTTAGAGTTTAGGGTTTAGGGGTTTAGGGTTTAGGGTTTAGGGTTTAGGGTTGAGTGTTTAGAGTCAAGGGCCCAGAAACGCTTGACAACTTAATTTTGACAACTCACCCATACAGCCTATGGCCACTGTTTGGGGAGCTTGGCGCGATATCCTTGAAGAGTTGAAGAGACCCTGAACCCTCCGTTCTCCTTGTAGAAGTCTTCAGCCCCATGTTGAACATCCTACAACCACAGTCTGTAACTGTGATAGCTTTCGATCCCACGCTTACAGAATTCCCACAAACTAGCCCAAGCTCTAAACCCTAAACCTTAAACCCTAAACCTTAAACCCCAAACCTTATTCGGGCTTCGGAGGTTGGCCTTGAGGTTGGTGCGAAGATCGAGGCCTCAATTCTGGCTAAAGGCAAGGCCCTCAGACCTCATGTCTAAATCCTGGAATCTGGGTTGTTCTCAAAATCATGGGCCCTTGTGGTTATAGGTTATATTATGGCACGTATTATTTAGGGCCACCAAAATGGGCCCCTAAGTTTGAGAACTACCCATCTAAACCCCAGATCTCAGTCCGTAGCATTTCATCTTAAACCTGAAAGCTTCTCTTGGGTTGTTGAACAGCTCCACTTCTCCGGATTGGGAGGGGGGGTGTTGGTCTTCATATCCAATCAAAAAAGGATAAGGATAAGTTGATGATTGTATAGGAATCTTTTGGAGAGGAGTGTTGCGAACATGTGGGGCGTCAAATGACGGTTTGTCTCATTTTGGATTAGGAGCATGCTGTCAAAGGGAACCCAAGAACAAGACTGCCTGGACAACCTTTCGTTCATAATCAACCTCCAGCCTGCCTTTGGGACTGGACTGGGACACGGAGAGCGGCTGGCTGCCACATACTCAGAGGATTTGAAGAGCTATAAGGCTGCTGCACTTTTTTTCTTTTTAGAATTTGCAGCTACTGCAATTGGGGGTGGGGCAAATTGTGGTTCCTTGTTGGGGGCTCTATCAAAAGGATCCTCGTGTTTGGTGGATGTGCGGAGGATCCTGATTTTGGATACTATTGATCGCAGACTGACAAATGCCCTTTGCTTGAAGATATGACCTCTGTGGTCCTGGGCGACAAGAACGCCGTTCAGTACATCTTGCACCTTGGATGCAGTGAATCTGCTTGCATTGGACGGTGCGTCCAAGAGACGTCCAGCCAAACGCTTTCGAGATGTTGACAGACAAAGCTCCACATAGGACCCCATATGCATAGTCCGCTCTGCTGTCGCGAATGACGAAATAGTCATCTGGTCGGCCTGGTGTTTTATTGCCCTCTGCAGCCTTCCTGAACCCTTGGTAAGACAGCGCAATGCTAGGATGTCTGTTGCGCCAGGTCTTTGTCCAGTCTGGAGCTGGATGCAGCCTGGAACAAGGCAGTCCATGCAGCCGAAATGGCCATAGCCGAGATTTTGTAGTTGTAGCTTTAGCATGCAGTTGTTGTTGTAACAGTGGCAAGAGCAGTAGTTGTGGCAGTAGCAGTGGCAGTGGCAGTAGCAGTGGGAGCAGGAGGAGTAGGAGGAGCAGGAGGAGCAGGAGGAGGAGGAGCAGCAGCAGCAGCCGTGGTAGCAGGATCATCAGCAGTAGTAGGAAGAGCAGCACTAGCACTAGCAGTAGCAGCAGTGAGTAGCAGTAGCCTTAGTAGTAGCGGTAGCGGTAGTGGTAGCAGTTGCAGCAGCAGCAGCAGTAGCCACTATGGTTCAAATCGGCAGGAGTAGGAAGAATCATCGAATGGGCTTCGGGCGCAACTTCTAGAGTTCACCAGCCGCTGCTGCAGCGCCCGTCTGAGCCGCCAGGGGCCCGATTGTGTCTAAGACAGCGAGCCCACGGCAAGTGGTTCCATTTTCCGCCTAGTGGAAGGAACAGGTGCCTGAGTATACTAGGCATCTTTCGGCTGTGAAATAATAACAGATTAGCCCATCCTTTGTAGAGGACCGTTGCTGACTGCAGACCTGAACATGACTGCCCCACTGCAGCCTCAGACCCATCCAGTTGGCAACCCCTTTTGGCAAACGCGGTGGCCACCTTGTTAGACTGATTAGGTGCATATTTTGGAACCCAGATCACTTGGGTAATCAGCAATGGAGGGAGATCAAGGACTGCCTGGCCACAGGCTTTGCAGCGCTGCGACTCTCATTCTTCAGGAGACGTGCTGGGCAGCCTCGACTCAGCTGAGTTTCACAGTGGGCAGGCTAGGTGAACTCGAAATTCCTTTGACGTGATCGTGAGAAATCTCTCATCGGCAGGTCTCAATTTCAAATCGGGCTTTGACCCCAAGGTTGTTGCTCTAAATGTGTGCGTCACAATGACATGGCTGCAGACCTGAGAGCACAATCAGCATGGTCTTGCTGACTGATGAGGGAAGCGCGTCCCACAGATGCAGAGTGCTGGGGATGCTCAGTTGGCTGCGTGTGTTGCACTCTGCAAGCTTGCTTGAAGGCTTTCTTAGTTAGCGAGCGTGCTTCGAAAGATCGAGTTGCGGCATTAGGCGCAAAACTCGTCCTGCGTGGCATCAACGGTCTACGGACTTTTGCCTTTGACTACTCCAAGGCGGAGGTGATGGCACCGTCGGGCGCTTGCTGAGTTGAGAAAAGTTGCACGGAATGTTCAGCCTTTGTTATTTGCGCTCAGCTCGGGGTTCATTTTGTGGTTGCAGTGTGTTTTGCAATGGCCGGATGTCTCTGTCGCTTGGCGCCTCATAGTCGGATTCAACATTGTTGGTGACGTTGGGGTAAGCCATATCTTGCGTCGCTGAGCCATCTATTTGAAGCTCACGTGACTGCAGCAGCATGCTTTGTTGCGAACCAGCGCCCCGTATGCCAATGACTTGCAAAGAATGGGATTATGAGCGCCTGCGCCTGATGCAGAAAGACATTGACAGCGGCTCCGCTGAAGGCCACGCTTCAGGCTATGGATGTGCGCTTTAGTGTCAATTACTGCCGACCTGGCCTAGAACGTCAATATGCAGGAGCACCATCGCAAGTTTCGGGCCATTGATAATGGCCGTGCGTCTGGTCATAACGGTGCCACAGTCACGTGTGAACGGGTGCGCGCTACTTCGTTAGAATTCTTGGCGTCTGTTGCAGAACAGTTTCTGGGCAACAAAGAGTCCCTTCTGAAACATGCTCACGGTAGCGGTGTGCAGAAGCACTCCTAACGTAAGATCACACAGGCGATGCACGGGCGGCAGCGTGACTGGCAAAACTTCCCACAACGGCTGCAGGAATCCCTTCCCTGTTCGACATGCTCAAAAAAAGATTCTTGTTTGCCACTTAGCGTGCAACAATTTTATCTTGGAGCGCACTGCAGAACAATCCCCTTGTGGGGAATATCCCTTGATAAGGGTCGACCAGGCGCATTGATTGTCCACAAAACGAAGCAAATCGCACCCTTTGAGCAAAGACCGCATTTATCTACGACTTCCTGGGAAACAACACATTCAAATAATCATCCGGGACTACCAAACAGCAACATGTTGGGGCAGGCAGCTTAACACAGCAAGCCAGAAAGGCCACGCGCGCAGGCTGGCCTGCTCCACACTATCTTCCAGATTGCAAGCCTTCCGACACGGGGTACGCGACCCAGGCCGGGAGGCCACCATTCTGCGCAGCGACCAAGGCATTTTGACACCCCTGCAGACATCTGCCAGTCAACGTAGAACCGGCAAAGAAAGCTTTGGGCCGCAACTCCCCGGCCGGCGCGGGGTCCAAGAAACCTTTGGCCTCAACACCCTCAATCACGCTGACAAGAGTTTCACGCCGGCCCTCTTTGCAATCTATGTGTCGTGTTCGCTGCGGCTGAACAGTACATGTAGTGTCCAGGCGACAGCCGATGTAGGTGACAGAGGTGCTCATGGGTTGACCTTTGTCCTTGCCAAAAGGGGTTCCAACCAAGTCCGCAACATGAAGCTTGCCAAGATCGGTGGGCCTTCAGTGCTTAAGCAGTGCAGGTCATCACCTCTCGCCCTGCTGTCGTTTGCCGACTTTCTTCCCACATTGGGGATACTTCCCACATTGGGTTGTAGGGTGGTCACTCCTGTTGGGCAGGCTAGCTTTACTTCTTGTCAGGCTGCTTTCCTTGTTGTGGATGGGCTATGCCATTAATTTTCTGTACTCATATCTTCTGTTTGGGCTATGTGGGAGAAAGAGTGCTTGCTGAGAGCTGTCGTGTTGTAGGAATTTCAGGTTGAAGGCTTGGCCCGCGTATCTTCAGCAAGTCCCGAGCCTTTGCCCACATTTCAAAAGCCAAAGTCAAGGACTCACTCTCAGCTGCGACTGAAGCGGGCCCCGGCCGTGCAGAAGCCTCCTCCACCATCAATGGCGGACGGAGCAGTGGTACTGCTCTCGCCTTGCGAGGACTGTCGGCTGGTAAGGCGGAGGGAGCGCCAAACAGGACGTTTTCTTGAGGTTCGTCTTCCTTAGAGTGACTCGCGCTTTGTGGTCCTGGCCGCTTATCAGGGTGTGTGGTCTGCGGCCAAGTCTGTGCAGCAAAATCTCTGTGACCGCTCGGGATTGCCGTTGTCGCTCTCCAAGACGATCCGACAGCTTTCCTCAACCGATTCTCTCACCATAGCGGGTGATTTTAATTCTGGTTTGATGCCCCGTCGGAGGCTCGTGGGTCCTGGCAATCGAGACCTTCTCGTGCGTTCGTGGCCCATCATGCTCTCAACGCATGGCGCCAGCATGATTCTCGCGCCTGTGAGCAGGGCAGCAAGGAGACTCTTGGACTCAGATAGATTTCATTTCCACTAAGAAAATTGAGTCGGGGGGTCAGGCCAAGCGGTCTCACACGCTCAGACCCTTAGGCTGGAAGTTGGCTGGTCATCCGTGTGTACGCTGCTGTTTCACGGGTACGGCGTTGGACGAAGACAGAAGCAGCCCAACAAAGTCAACCTGCCACTACTGCAGCAAGTTCTCTGTGGGCAAGCTATGCCAGCTCCTTAGCCGTTTGTGGTGAGGCTAAGGTCTGGGACTTCTTCACGGGTTATGCTGACGATCTCACCATTCGCAAGACCGTCAAGCTATTTCGCTACACCCTGGTCAAATTCGCGGGCAAGTTTTAAGCGTCGAGTTTCCGAAGCTAGGAAAAGTTGCAGACGGTGCGCAAGTACGTTTACAGTCGCAGGTTTGTTAGCGCTGTGTCTAGGCTCCTGATACGGCTACAAGCTGCGCTCTGTTTTGAATAAGCCTGCGTTTGTGACATGCGTGTCTACCAAGGAGCTCGTTTCCCTCTATTCGAGAGATGGCCTAGTGGCTAAGCTACATCAACTGCAGGTAAACAGACGAGACAAGTTGAGTGCTAAGGCTAGCTCCGCCCCAGACATTACTTGTGAGCACCGTGCGCTGGCGCGCGCTGCCCATATGGCGCCTGACCTTGCTCAACATGCCAGAACAGGTGAG